CCCCCTCCTCCCCCCCTCCTCCACCCCTCCTTCCCTTCTCTTTTTCCTTACTGAAATAGGATTTGACTCCAGCAACTGCCGTGGGCCCTCAGAGTTCGATAACATATTGCATAATGTACTCATGCGTCATCAACCGGCATGTGCGCGCCCATACCCTCTCACCGCTTCTCTTTTTTTTTCTTTTTTTTTTTTTCTTTTTTTTTTTTTTTCGGGAAAAAGGGAGGATCCCATTTATACATCGCAAACCAAGAGGAACTTTTGAGGCCGGGAATCCTCACAAACAACCCGGGTAACATGTGGGGGGGGAGAAGGAGAAGGGAGAAGGGAGAAGACGGAGAAGATGGAGAAGTTTCTCGAAAACGACGATAAAAAGCGCTGCTGCTAAATATGATATTCCAATGCCACGCCGCACAGAGAGAGGGTAAGAGCCAAGTAATTACAGTAAGGACGACGGATAGCCAGGAGTAAAAAAAAGTTAAGGAGTGAGAAACGAGGACTACCTAGGACGGAGAGTGGAGGGTGAGATTGGAGGGTAAAAGGTGGAAGAGAGCCAAGGAGGGAGGGAGGGAGGCAGAGGCTTTTTGTTGCGCCGGGGCCGACAAGAGGATGTTGGACACTATTGTGATGTATACAGAACAGCAGAGCAGAGCTGGACAGTGCTGTGATTTATGCCGAACAGCAGAGGTGCTGAGAACCGCAGAGGTGTTGCTCGTTCCGCGTGGAGGCGAGAGAGGGAGGGGTAATTGAGTAAAATTACCTAGCATGGTCCCTGCCTCCACCACGGGGCACATGCACAAAAGACCAACCTCTTCTCGCATGAACATCATCGTCATCATATGCCGGCATATGATGATATGCCAAATGTAATTGCCGAGGGTGCAGCATCCCTTGGCAATCCCTACCGTCATCACCCGAATAGAACGCCCGGTCATTATAGCTGCATTTGGCCAATTTTCAGTCCAGATGCAGCTATAATGATCGGGCGTTGTATTCGGGTGAAGACGGTAGGCATTAGCGCATTTGCCCCTGCACAAGGACGACACGGGTAATTTGAGAAACACTGCAAGACAAGTCTTGTCTGGAGGGACATCTGCCAAAATTGGAACGATACAGAGAAGGGTAATTACAGCATGGTCCCTGCCTACGCACGGCACAATGTCATAGTAATTTAATCGAGAAATTGTCCAATTGAGAAGGGGGGAAAAAAAAAAGTCTTGACCTGCTGAGTAGATAGCTGGCCCATTGCCACGCCAGCATGCATGGTCCCTGCGCAAGGATGAGACACATACAGTAAATCGAGAAACGGTCCAAATTAAAGGGTTAAAGAGGGGGGGGGGGGGGGGGGAAGTGTTGGCCAACCATGCAGATAGCTGCCCCGCTTCCACGTCAGCATATGCCAAAATTGGAACAATACAGAGAGGACTAGCATGATCCCTGTGCGCAAGGGGAAAAGTGTGTGTCCTCCTTCGGGAAATCCGTTCAGAGAATGAAGATTAGCATGGCCCCCGCGTAAGGATGACACGCACATTAATCCAGAAATGTTCCAAATCAAAAAAAAAAAAAAAAAAAAAAGGTACTGGCCTGCCGTGCAAATAGCTGCCCCACTGCCACGTCAGCATGCGACAGGGGGAAAAAAAAAAAAAGAACACTGAATCATGCCTTCTGTTCCTTCTTTTTTGGCTTCCCCATCTCCTGCCTTATTCCCCGACAGATGTCCATCAGCACGTGGCCTGGGTCTTCCCATCAGCACGAGGCCTGAGTCCTCCTGACAATGTCATTTCCTTTCGATGATAGCCTGCCTGAAATTACATTGCCAGTGACAAGCGACTCACGACGACAATGACTGACGAGAATGGTGACAGACAAGCATAAAAGAGAGAGAGGGGGGGAGAGAGAGAGAGAGAGAGAGAGAGAGAGAGAGAGAGAGAGAGAGAGAGAGAGAGAGAGAGTCGCCATTGTTCATCATTGCAACCTGCGCGTCTACGTGTCGGGAGGGTCCGAGAAACAAGGGGTGCGGCGGCCTTGTGTTCTTATCCCGATCCCGGCCTGCCACGTCTTTCTCTTACCGCCTTCCCCGATCCCGACCTCCCTCTATTCCCATCCTGCTTCTGCCTCGTCTGGATGGGTGTCCTCCTCGCATACCTCCTCTCCCTCTTTTCCATCTCTCCTTTAGGAGTATTGGGGGCTCCTCTCCCTCCTTCCTTCTCTTCTCCTCCTCCTCTTCCCTTTTTTACCTTTCTTTTTTTTGCATCGATGTCTACCCGATGCCGCTTCCCTCTGTCCCGGCGTTGATCTTATCTCGATCCCCGGTCTGCCACCTCTTTCGCCTCCCGCCTTCCCCGATCCCCACCTCCTATCCCGATCCCGCTTCTCCCTCGTCTGAATGTCTACCCCGATACCGCATCCCTGTGTCCCGGCATTGATCTTATCCCAATCCCCGCTCTGCCACCTCTTTCTCTTCCCGCCTTTCCCGATCCCGACCTCCCTCTATCCCGATCCCGCTTCTCCCTCGTCTGGATGGGCGTCGTCCTCGCATACCTCCTCCTCCCCCTTCCTTCTCGTCTTTAGGAGTATTAGGGGTTCCTCTCCCTCCCTCCTTCTTTCTACTCGTCCCGACCTCCCTCTCTCCCGATTCCGCTTCTCCCTGGTCTGGACGGGTGTCCTCCTCGCATGCCTCCTCTCCCTCCTTCCTTCTCTTCTTTAGGAGTATTGGGGGCTCCTCTCGCTCCCTCCTCTCCTCCTCCTCCTCTTCCCCTCGTTTTCCTTTCTTTTTTTCAACTTGTCCACCCCGATGTCGCTTCCCGCTGTCCCGGCGTTAATCTCACACAGAGAGAGAGAGGGGGGGGAGGGGAGAGAGAGAGAGAGAGAGAGAGAGAGAGAGAGAGAGAGAGAGAGAGAGAGAGAGAGAGAGAGAGAGAGAGAGAGA